CCCTCTTATTTTCTCTGCATCAAACAACTCTTATTTTTCATCTCTTCTTTCTTTTATCTTTCTCTCTATTATTTCTCCTTCATTTCATTATTACCAAAAATACCCTAAAGTTTTAAACTATACATGCCATTGCACAGTATTGGGCTAGGCTGAATCCTAGAGAAAATATGTTGTTGTGTTTTTTTTATTTATTTTTTATAGAAAGTCCGACATGTAATCAGGTTTGGTGGACTTTTCTTGAAGGTGTCTCATTGAACTTATCTTTTCACATTTTAAGATGACTTTGTGACCTAGTGATTGTGATTGCCTATTGTCGCATAACGGACTGATAAACTTAGTGAATATTTTGGCAGAATATATATTATTAAAGTTAAATGATGCTATAGATTGGCATATATATTTTATATGGTCAATCGTTTGGCATGGCATGCCACGTTGGTTAAAACAATTCAATCAACTTAATAACTATAAAGTTTGATCTTTGACCAAAAAAAGAAACCAACTAAAAAGTTCATTAATGTTACTTCAGTTTTTATAAGATTTTTTTAGGCTGCTGGAGAAGATGCTTAACCTTTTGGTGTTTAGTGTTTATATTACTATGCTTCACTGTCATCTTCCGAGCATGCTTCTGAGCTTTTAAAATCATTAGTCTAATCATAGTCCCGAATCTAAAGGAAGAATTTTCGTCACTCACGCGATAGATAAAAATAATAATATAAAAAGAATTTATAATGTGAATTTTTTTCTCTAATATTATCAATTTATTGGAGGAGAAAACTATTTCACTCACACACTCACGCATGTGCCGTGCGTTTGTCGATTATGAGAAAACGGTGAGGTGATGAATAAAATATAATAAAATGGAGTCAATTATGTTAGAGTTTCCACATTAACATGTTTCAATTTAAACAATTTTCCCCTAAAATATAATTATAAGAATTATTTATGAATTTTAAACGCTAATTTTTATTTTAATAATGTCAAGATTCTTATTGGATATAAAATATATAGTGTTTAATATATCTAGTTTAATTAATATATTTATTATGAATTAAAAACTTTAATTTTAGTTTTTTTGACCAATTTTGGTTTTTAACATAAAAAATATTATTATAATATACATAATGTTATAAAATAAAATAAAAATAAATTTTGATAAACACATTAGGGGTGAAAATTAAAAGAAAATTAGAGTTTTCTATCATATTCACCCACAAAAGAAAAGAAAAAATGACAAAGAAAATGAATTATTATTTATGATAGAGAAGTCATTTTTATCAATTTTATAGTTTTAATCTTGGTGGGGTAACTTTCCATAGTATCCATAATAATAACATGAAAGTTCATCCTATCATAAACAAATCTACATGGTTTATAGCACCTTTGCCTTGATATTTACCTAATTATAAGAATCAATATATTATGTAATTTTATATGTGATATTTTATATAAAAATTTATGTTTAAATTTTATTTTATTTATATAATATTTTATTTTTAAAAGTTATATCATAGAAATGCTAATATATATATATATATATATTTTTGTATTCATTTGATAAATAAAAGATCTTGATTAATGTTGTTAAACTTTAAGATAATTAAAATAATGTTTTTCTTCTACCTATATATTTTCTTTATTTTCCTTTTGCTTTATCTTAATTATTTTAGGTGTAAAATATAAATTAATATGTAACACAATTTATTCTGACTTAGTATATTTTTAGGAATTAATTAGTTTACTTTTTAATAAAAAAAATACCGTCAACAAATATATCGATTTTTATTCTAAGTTAAAAAAAAAATTTCTTAGTAACATCTAAAACAAATAATTGGTATTCTTTGAAAAAAAAATATGTTTGGCTTTATTATACGCGAAATTCAATTATATATTATTGACATATTTAAATAAACATTTAGATAAAATTTAATAATTCTTTATTAATTCAAATTTTTTAAATTGATCATCCATTCTTCAATTTCTTTTGTTTTATAGTGGAGATTGATTGAATTAGTGATGTGAACATGGTAATCAATATGTGATGACCAACGGATCAATGGAACTCTTGCTTGATCATCTCAAATTCATTATGTAGAAGTTTCAATTGCTAATAAAATGATGCATTCAAAGCTTGTGAGTAGGGTGGTTATCAATAACAAACTTATGATCACCACAATGCCAAAGGAACATGAGAAAAAGGATAGAGATAATGATAGAAGTAAGTAGGAGACTTGTGCTTGTACAGTGATGAATAGTTAAATGAGTAGGTGAATGATTGATTTTTTTGTTAATATTTTGTTGTCTTCGAAACTTAATCTTAATATGTCGATATTTCAGGTTATTTTTAAAATTAGTTTATCTGCATATTTTTATTGCTATCGTTGAATCATGAAAAAAATGAGAAAAAAAATATTCTTTACAATGACAATTTTCATAAATGTATAAACTAAATCAAATTTTCATAACATATTTTTTTCCTTTTAAGATGCCTAATTTAATAATTTAATAACTCATCACCATCAAATTAATAACTCCAATTAAGATAATTGTGTTACATTATAGCTAATTTACTTATGTACAAGTATATAGGATTCCATTAAATTAAGTATAATTTTGGTTAGAAAAATATTATTTTAGATCAATCTTTAAATAGGATGTTATCTATTTAAGTTTGCTTAATATTTTTATTTAATATTTTTATTTAATTTACTTATTTAAATAATTGAAATATTATCGTTAAATAATTTACTAGATTACTTTATATTAAAATAATTTGTATGAAAGGATAGTTAATTGTATTATGGGTTATTTATATTTTTATCTTTAAAAACGGAATAGTTATTGCGCACCAAAAAAAAAAATCGAAAATAATATACCATCATAGTTTCTATTGATAGTTATTGCACACATTACCCTTCAAATACAACCATTTATCAAAGCTTTGTAATTAGAAACATGAGACTTTCACCCTCTCTTAATCATCTATCTCTAACTTATACAATGAATAAAATAGTAAAATACATGAAAGAATTCATGTTTTAGAAATAAGTTTTTATAAACATAAAATAGTAAAGACTCTAACAAGAAAATTAATATCATTATAGCAAGAAAATCCAAGAACACACCGTAAATAAAAATTAAAAAAAGAAAGACAAAAAATGTCATGGTAAAGAATAAAACTTTTTTCTTTGAATATTTCTTTTTATTATTCAGCGGTAGTAACAATAATATTCAGATAATTGAATTTTAAAATTAACTTAAACTTGATCTACATACTAAGTTTCAAAGATGGCGAAATATTAACAAAAGAGTGACTCACTCACTCAAATGTTCTTTGCTGTACAAGCATAGTCTACTATGACACCTCAAAGGGTGGGATAACTGACCCCAGGATTTAACGCGGCTGCATACACAAGGTAAAATTCGAACCCCTGATCCCTACCGCTAAACCACACGCTTGAGATTAGCTGAAGAGAAATTAAATAAATAAATGCATGATTTGGATTTGTGCTTCTTTTAATTTACTAATTTTTGTTTATAAAATAATTTATTCAACAAAAGTGAAAATTCTAGCTGAATTAGTTTGCACCCTCTTCATTTTTATTTCATTGCTACAGTTTTAAGGTATAATATATATTAATATAATTTAGGTTTAATATATATATGTTGACCTTGAATTTTTTAAAACTCACTCTTAAACTATAAAACTTTGTTATTAAGATCTTAATGTTTTTTTTTTACGTTTAAACAAAACATTTATAGAGTTTTGAAGGGAATCAAAGAAAAATATCAATGACATAAATAGCATAAATGAAATGAAGTTGAAAATGCAAAGCTTAATGCTTTGTTTGGAAGTTGGGAAAGAATGAAAGATAATATATAAAAATTGATTTGATGATAAGAAATAAATGAAAAATAGTGTGAAATTTATAATTGTTTTGTATACTGAAATTAGGTGAGAAATAAAGAAAAATTGATATTTTAAAAATATATTTTATATAGTTAAATTTTATATTAAATAAATTATTTAATCAATTACATTTATATCTTATAGTGATTAATTATTTAGACAATAATGTAAGAGTAGTCTTGTCTATATATTTTTTAGTTGAAAATTTCACATAAATTCACTCTTAAAAAGGTGAAATTAAATTCATATGAGCCCAGAGCAATTTTCTCACAAATCTACTTAAATTAATCTCTATTTTTCTTCTCATTTTCTATTAAATCACTTCCCTCGAACAAAAAAAAATGTAAGTAGAAGAGAAAGCTCAGCTTTTAAGAAGCAGGGGAGCAGATTCTTATTTAGACCATAGTCTACTTCTTATTAAGAGGCAACTTTTTATTCTCTTATTAATATGGATAAAAGACAAATTCAATTTTATTCTTTTACTAATATGGATAAAAGACAAATTCAATATCAATAAATAACATGCAAACATCTCATTTTCTTTTCGTATTTATGCGCCATTCAACGAAAGACAATTCAAAACATTTTGTATTTTAGCGATAGGTAATACGCAGAGGATTTTTGGTTTCATCATCGGTATGGTTATCGTAATTCTGATAAATAAAAAATATTCATTTTGTACTTTTCCTTAAAAACAGCATATTTCGACGGAATAAAAGTTAATTTAATTAGGATTGTAGCACTTTTATTATTCTAACATGTTTTCAAACATTTAATACTTGTTAGTAAACTCCCAAACATTTACTAGAGGAAAACAATCACCAGAAGTTTGAAACTCATCCAAGACATAAATATTCAACTAAAAAATATAAAGATACTTACAACAGCGAACGACTTTTGAATGGCAATTTCTCTATAAACAAATGTAAGGATACATTATACGATGCATTAAAATAAATTGGATTATCATGAGCCGGCGGTGAACGACTTTGACGTTGACTTAATTAGATACATGACAAAGAGAAAAAGAGCTACATAATACTAAGTTTGAGTAATTCATGTTGAGTTGGCAAATCAAAAACCACAACACTTTATCATGGGTTCTGCTACTGAAAACATGTCACTCCCATCTCATGTGGTTGCAGTTACAAATGGTGATGCTTCTTCACTAGATTCTGGACATGCCCGTCTTCTTGAACTCGGTTACAAACAAGAACTCAAGCGTGATCTTTCGTAAGGCTGTCTTGTTTCTTTACTTTATTTTCTGTTGTTGGTTTTTCATTTCCTATTATGGGTACCATGTTTTATATCGCAGGGCCATTTCAAATTTCTCCCTCTCGTTTTCTGTTATATCGGTGCTCACAGGCATCACCACCCTTTACAACACAGGGTTGAACTATGGTGGGCCCTTTTCAATGCAATATGGGTGGTTTCTAACTTCTGCTTTCACAATGCTTGTTGCACTCTCAATGGCTGAAATTTGTTCATCTTATCCAACAACTGGTGGTCTTTACTATTGGAGTGCCAAGCTTGCTGGCCCTAGATGGGCACCCTTTGCCTCCTGGATCACTGGCTGGTATTCTATCCTAAATCATATTATTACAAAATAATAAAAATAAATATATGACCAAAATAAATTATATAAGTGAAGATTCTCTTTTTGTAAGTCAATTTTATATGATTGATTTATGTTTAAATCTAGATTCAAGAGTTATTATTTATGTTTATAGTTTAAGTGATATTTTTAGTATCTTTCACCAAGTGTCAATAACACACTTTTTTTAACTTTTTTTTTGTCGTTTGTTAATGTTTATTAAAAATTATGAGTAGGATGCAGAAAATTGTTAAATTACTGTCAAAACAGTATATTCTTCATCTTCATATGACTGATCATGGACTTATTTCTAGTTAGTGCTCCCTCAAGGAATGAAGATTCCTAAGTTCCGGTGTCTGAATCTGATCTTTTTGTTCTAAATTGTTAGTTCTCATCAACGTTGATTCTACTTAAAGAAAGCTATTATGTCCTGTGAAGAAGATTTTTTATATGTAAACTCAGATACATTTTAAAGTTTTTTAATACTTATTTCCTTTTTGTTTTATTCCTAATCACTGGTTCCTTGTTCACGTTTTCATATGAAAGTTTTTTGCATAAAAAATTTAAGGTGTGCGTTATAAATGTTGGGGACCTCACACTTACAGGGAAGGAGCTATCATTACCCATTAGGCTTTCGATGGATTACTTTTTAATAAGTTTTAATATGTGTAAGCCCAGAGATTTGCATACAACTATCTATTATTTTATTTAGCAACATACAATTTTAACTTTTATATAAGGATCTTATGAGGACCTGATTGGACTCAAATTTTTTAAAAGTGGCATTCTCTCACTAGTTGGTAATTGTTGTTTTAGACGAGCATGCCATGGAAACACTTGAATGGTTGAGATTTGGATGATTAGAAAAGCAGAGAAAGTGGAAATATGCTAATAGAAAATTTATCTATAATATCATAAAAGGGTTTTAATTTGAACTTTAGTATGATAAAAGAAGAATCCCCATCTAGTCTTTTTTGATTAAGAGGAGACATTTGATAATTGTAATATGCACCTATATTTTGCACAGGAAACATCCAATTAACCAGCATGCTATATTTCTTATATATGTACAACATGATATATAATGTACAATGTTCAAGCTGGCTCTGAAAATGCTCTTAACCAGCATGCAATATTCCTTACGTACAACATGATTACAAATATCAAATTTTGTCATCCTCACTAATGCCTCCGGCTTAAAACTAAGTTTATAGCTTAATGAAAGTCTAATTACAAGATATGTACACTGGCGTTCCCTGACTTGAGTTGCATGGTCTCTCTTTTCTTGCAGGTTCAATATTATTGGTCAGGTATTCCAGAGAAGGCACATTCTAGAATTTTAACTTTCTCCACTTTTTACAAGTGATCAAACTCGTGTAAGATGTAGATTTCTTAATCCATTTGAAGCACTAACTTTTTATTTGCAGTGGGCAGGGACAACAAGTGTGGACTTTTCACTTGCACAACTAATTCAGGTTATCATTCTCCTTAGCACTGGTGGGAAAAATGGTGGTGGATATGAGGCGTCCAAATATGTAGTTATTGCTTTGTATGCGGGAATTTTGCTCCTACACGGTATAATAAACACTCTTCCTATCTCAGTCATATCATTCTTAGGACGGTTGGCAGCTATTTGGAATGTTTTAGGTATGAACAAATTTCCTATTTCATTTTTTTTTCTCTATATTTTGTTCTCTAGAAAAGCCTTTATATATTGAATATCTAATTTGAATGGAAAACTTTTAGGTGTTTTTGTGCTTATGATTCTGATTCCATCTGTTGCAACCGAAAGGGCTAGTATAAAATTTGTGTTCACTCATTTCAATGATAAAAACGAGGATGGAATCCACAGCAGACCCTACATATTTCTCTTGGGACTTCTAATGAGTCAGTATACCCTTGCTGGGTATGATGCATCAGCTCATCTGGTATGAAAGCTTTCAATTAGAAAATTTCTTTTTCAGTGTACCCTTGCTCTTGCTTTCCACTTTGTTAATTTTGTTGTATTCATTTGCATTGATGGAGAAGTTATGAAATGAATTAGACCATACAAACTTGAATTTTCAGACAGAGGAAACGAAGGGTGCTGATAGAAATGGACCAAAAGGAATTATCAACTCTGTTGGGATATCTATTATTGTTGGATGGGGTTACATTCTAGGCATTACCTTTGCAGTCACTGACATCCCTTACCTTTTGAGTGAAAATAATGACGCTGGTGGCTATGCCATTGCTGAAATATTTTATTTAGCTTTCAAGACAAGATATGGCAATGGAATTGGTGGTATCATTTGCTTGGTAATTGTTGCTATCTCCATATTTTTCTGCGGTATGATTTCTGTCACTAGCAATTCAAGGTAATAGATAATGCACTTTCCATATGAGAATTTCTCTACTTAGTTGAGAATATAATAAGATGCTTGAAAATTACGCAGGATGGCTTATGCTTTCTCTAGAGATGGGGCCATGCCATTGTCACCATTGTGGCACAAAGTTAACAAGCAAGAAGTTCCCATCTTTGCAGTTTGGCTTTCCGTTTTTATATCATTTTGTATGGCACTAACGGTATGAAAAACATAATTTTTTAAAACTTTACTACTAGTATATTATTTCATTTTAAAAAATGCTGCAAATTTTATTATATGTTTTCATTGGTCTCATAAGTAAATTGTAACTCTATTGCAGTCTCTAGGAAGCATAGTGGCATTTGAAGCAATGGTGTCCATAGCGGTGATTGACCTCTATGTTGCTTATGCGCTACCAATATTCTTTAGGGTGACCTTGGCACAGAAGCATTTTGTACCTGGGCCTTTCAACTTGGGCCGTCACGGAGTCGTTGTGGGCTGGGCTGCTGTTATTTGGGCGGTGCTCATCTCCATACTCTTCTCGTTGCCTGTTTCATATCCAATAACCATTGAGACATTTAACTATACCCCCGTTGCGGTTTCTTGTTTTCTCGTTTTAGTAGTTTCTTACTGGATACTTAGTGCCAGGCATTGGTTTAAAGGCCCAATAGTCAATCTTTAATTCAGTGAACTGACCGCATCTTCAATGTGATCTCTATGTAGAACGTCATCGGTAAGGGATAATATTGTTGGAGAATAATTAGGTGTGTCCAATATTCAATCTATCATGCAATGAATTTATCTTATTTGATAAAGTTTTTGATTAAAATTATAGACATCTTATCATGATAGAGATTATGACAATGAGAAAATAAAGTCTTTTATTATTTTAATCTAAATTATTTTTAGTCGTAGGATTGTTGTAAATAAGACAACAATAATCCGGATAGATCAATATATATGTAAATGTCTTTATTGAATATAGTAATTAACAAGTTGTTTATTATATTTTAATTTTGGACACCTAATGCCTTGAGGTATTAGTTGACTAGAAATTAGATATGATTAAATGCTTGTAGAATTAATGATTGATCAAAAAGGGGACCCATCAACTCTAGATAATGAGTTTGGCTCTAGAATAAAATTATATCCTGGCTAGGAATATTAAATAAAAGAAGAAATGAGTTTCTTAAATATGTGTTAACTTAATAGAGTTTGACAGAAAAATTATATTCTAAAGTTAATGATGGAACAAAATTATTTTATTATTCTTCTATTGATTCTTAAAAGTAAAATATCACTTTATGTAATTTGGGTGTTAAAGAGTATTACTAGATACCTACCTTGATTAATATATTAATTTTATTAATATATTATCAACTTAGTATTGAATCTACAGGATCACACACAAATGAGTGTTTTAATCTCTGTTATAAATTATCTTAATACTTTATTATTAAATTATAAATTTTAATTATATCAAATAAATAAATAATTTTGTTTGTGAAATATTATTATATTTTTTACTTGTACCAAAAATTTAAATGATATAAATAAAATTATTTGAAATGCTTGAACACACATTGGAATGGTCCACATTTGAAAAAGGGAAAGAAATAGAAGATTAAATATTTCTGTTTAAATTGTTTAAATTGAAAAATTGGTTGAAGATTTGAGGAGATTTTGTTGAAATTAGTTTGATAGTGATTTGTTTTTATTTTGAGAGAAGTTGATTTTATCCACTAGCTATAAAAATAATGTTGATAATTTAGATAATTTTTACGAAATATTTTATAAGTTTAGAAATTAGATAATTTTTTTAAAACTATTTTTTTAACAAGTCATTATATTTTTATATAATATTTTAAAATTTATAAGATTTTTTTTATATCAAAATAGTTTTTTAAAAGTTAAATCTAATAATTATAATTTAATAAATTTTATAAATATTAATCATCCATAAAATTAAATAGATAAATTAAATTCGTTTCATTGTTTATTTTTATTGTAATAGATGGATTTACTCGTAGATGATTTGGATGAATGGATAAATAAATGAATTCATTCACCACCTCTATTTTATATAATTACAAATATTCATTAAATATAAATTTAATTATAATATGATTTTTATATAAAAAAAAGTATTTATTATTGTAATTTTTGCTATATAAACTAAAAATTCATCCTATACGTTATATATATTAAAATACTAGTTTTTTTATATTATAAATTATGCATCATCAGAAGTAACATGTTTCTAATTAATTTTTATGTAAATTGTTTTATAATGTGATTTTGTTTCTTGAATATTATCAATTTATTGGGGAAAAAACAATTTCCGCTTTAAAGTATTGTCACACATTCAAACATGTGCCGTGCGTTGCGTGGATTATGAGAAAACGGTGAGGTGATGAATAAAATATTATAAAATGGAGTCAATTATGTTGGAGTTTCTACATTAACATGTTTCAAATTTTGGATGGAGTATGAAAAAGAGGGCCAAAGAAATGTGAAATGTGGTCCCCAAAACAAAATATTTCTACATGAACCAAAGTCAAAGAAATGTGTTATATAGTTTTCTTGTTCTCTACCCATCTAAGTGGCTGCTGGAAAAATATGAACCATACATATATATGTCGCATCCTACAAAAGCTCATAGATCCATAAATAATAATTTTGGGGAATCGTAGTTTAAGTCCGCAAGCTTCAAATTGAAGCTTTTTATAGATATAGTCATTCATGCTTTCTGTAATATGTTAAAAAGGGATTAAATATTATTATTTTGACATACTGAAAATTCCTTACTTTATTTTATTATGCGATAATAATAAGTCACGGTATATATGAAAGGGCAATTAAAGATTTTCAAACCGTAATTAAAGAATAATTAATAGCAGTGAGACTACCCATAAGATTCTGGCATCAAACATTAACAATTACCCTTTCCCTCTTTTCACAAGTTTTTTGTGAAAAAGAAAAAAATCGTCTCAAATATAAATATCATTTTATTTTTTTTATTATTAATTTCTTTTGCATATATCTAACAACTTTTTTTTAAAAAAATTGTCGTATTACATCGTTTTCAGCAGAAAAAATTAATAATAAAAATTAACTTTACAAAATTATTATTTTCATTTATCTACTTATTATTTTTTATTAATTTGTATTCGAAAATTTAGAACATTTATTATAAAACAAGAAAGATTTATAAATTATATGACAGTTGTGTCACATGATGAAATGATATATGAAAACAAATTAAAAAAAATCTGAAAACATTAAAAATATATTTAAATTTTTAACCTTTAACTCTGATAACAATATGTAATCACAAAATAAATAATTTTTTAAAAAAACATATGAAGGTGATAATGTATAATTTAAATAAGAATTGAAATGTTACATATTTATAACTATTAAATAAAAGGAGATACATTCTCATGGTATATTCTCAAAAATCCAATTATACTCTTATTTTATATTTTTCTTAATCTATGTCAAGGATGAAATAGAAAAAAGTATGTATGCAGAAAAAAAAAAACTACTCATCTATTTTTTAATTGAAAAAAAAAAACTGGTCATCCATTTAAAAATAATTACCCACTTTTTTTTTTTTTACAAAGAAACATAGTACCTTTTTTTTTAGTATTAATAAATTAATGCCAATAATATTATTAGTATATCTTTTTATAATACTTTTATATTTTATAATTGTTGACCTATTTCAATTATATA